TATATATATATAATATATATATATATATATATATATATATATATATATATATATATATAGAATAAAAGAAGCTCTGCGTAAAGCAAATCTTGAGGTTACGCGAAAGGTTTTATTTATTAATACTTTATTGCATAAAAATTTTCGCGACACACAGTCAGACGTGAAGAAAATATATTCATCTGATTTTTTGAAAGATTATCTTAATCTTCAGATTGATTCATATCCATTTCTACCAATGTAGATCAACTTTAATTTCTGTCTTAAATCCATCCTTTATCTCTTTCTAATTTTACGAATTAAAGGGCAGGTTAATCCAAGATTAAAATCAATTTCGGGTTAATCGTTAGTTAGAAATGGGCACGAGAGCGAATAACGTACGCGATAATCACGTACGCGATACGTGATAATCATCAAATTACGAACACGAATAACGTGAATTTTGAGTCCTGCCAGGAAGTGCGAATCGAGGATTCGGCAATCCCAGAGATTTTTCCGATTTGTCAACGAGAGGTTGGGATCAGAGCTTCGTTCGGCGAATTGCGCTCGCCTCATCAGCCGGCGGCGGTAGGCTTCTAAATTTATTGTCGCCGCGATATGCAAAAATAAAACAGTATAGTCAGCATCGCCGGCCTTACCCGTAGGCGCACCTTCGGCGGTTCAACGACACCCTGACGTCGCGCGTAAACAACTGCAACAATCGGATCGGCGGTTACGTAATTCTTACGCGTGAATCCCGCCGCGTGTGGATACAAGCGCCAGCGAGGCGATGCCTTATCTTCTATTACCAGTTAGTCTCAACTTCCGAACGTCAATCCTATCGTCAATTATTTTAAATTCCGAACCATCTCGATCGTACGAATACGCCTCCCACCCGCGGTGTCGGGTATGCCTTTCGACGAGACGTTGGTGGAAAAAATGCGATCGAAAGGTATCGGGTTATCGGGCTATCGAAAAATCTGATAAGGTGGTCTCAAGGTCTGGAGACGAAAGAGAACCCGAGCGATTGTTTCCTTTGCTCTTGGATCTTCAACGCCCGCGGGCATGCACGCTCCGAAATAGGCGGTTAAACTATTCTAGATCTAGCGTGACGCGTGTTGGTGTTGGTGTTTGGTGTGTGTGTGTGTGTGTGTGTGTGTGTGTTGGTGTGTGTGTGTGTGTGTGTGTGTGTGTGTGTGTGTGTGTGTGTGTGTGTGTGTGTGTGTGTGTGTGTGTGTGTGTGTGTGTGTGTGTGTGTGGCAAACTTGCGCAATATTTTGGAGCCACTTCGAGAAATGATCATTCTTAAGAGATGCAAAATGAGTGTATGTAACTATTTTAAGATTTCCGAGTCTCTGAGAATCTTTGACGATGAGCAATAAGAAGCTTCTTTCATGCTACTCGGGACGTGATGCATATTGACAGTACGTTCTCGCTCCTGCATCCTTCGATAAGCTACTGGCAAACAAGATTTTCTAGTACTAGGCTTGCTCCTCGTCCTGATAAAGTGAACTGCCAGTGTTCACGAAACGCATTAATGACGAATCATGATGATGCAAACCATTGTACAATTTTCTAAAGTCCTTAACTCTTCCTTAAGTTTCCCTGTAACCATTGGCATTTGCACGTCGCATTTATTTTTTTTTTTTTTTTCCAAAAAGGACGAAATAATATGGATTAGTATAACGACAGGACGACGGAGCTCTCGGCTTTTTTCAGGCGCGTATTTTCGGGAGAACCGTCGTACCAAGGAATGCGTAATACGCGCATAGAAAATCGACCGGGACGACGTGAGCGATCGGTCTGGCATACGGGGACTTCCAACGGTCGACGCCGGCGCGGCTCGTCATCGTCCGTCCTGGCCTGGCCGGCGTCGACTGTCATCGTTCTCGCGGGGAGGCGGTGGAGGAGGAGGTGGAGGAAGCGGAGGAAACAAGAGGAGATGGTGGTAAACGCAGCAACGAGACGCCGGCGGGCGGCGTACTTACCGCGGTATCTGCCGAAGATCACCCTGATGCTGCTTCAGACCCTTGGAGCTGGTGAACCAGATCTCGAGGAGCTTCTCGACGCCCTCGAAGAACTGCACGTTGTCGGCGCAGTCGTCCTTGGTGTCCGCCATCCTCTCGCGGTCGGTCGCGATCGTCTCCCTCAAAATTGCGAAGCGGCACGCAATTGTGCGATTCACGTTTCTCTCCCTCTTTCTCTTTCCCTCGGTCCCCGTCGTACGGTGAGTACCGTGAGCCCGATCGACCTCGCGAATGTGTGAATATACAGAGCTTGAGTATCCCGAGAACTACTCCCGGTGACGCGCGTTCGTAGACTGACTGACACACTGACTGACCACGCCCACGAAGGGCCACTAACCCGGATTTGAACTTCGGAATTTGACGGTACCGGGAATGGTCCGGTGCTGCCAGGCATGCCTTGACGCCGACCGGCCTAACCCACCCTAACCGGACCACCACCAAATTCACCTACCACCCATCGTCGGTGCCACTCCATCACCGCCGCCACCACCATCATCGTCGCCGCCACCGTCAGCCAACCGCCGCGTCTCGCTCGCTGCACGGTTCGCGCGCTTCTGCAGCGTGGCGCCGCGGGCGGCACCACGCGGAATCACTTTCGCCGCCGCCGATCGCCGACAGGCGGTGTTTGCGCGCGCGCCGCTCCGCGAATCGCGCGACAAAATGTACGTGACCGTCGTCACGTAACTGTTTCACTCGGCGATAGAATTTTTTAAGCAAATACTTGGATCATTTTTTTTTATTATTTTAGCAATGTAAATAAAAATTATTCTTATAATTAGGATAAAATTAAAAATATTGATTGCTTCGTTAATAATTCACAAAAATAGTTTTATGCAATAAGTGCTCAGTAAGTAGGATTTATTTTATCATACATTTTGTACATTTTGTACACCTTTCTTCTTGCTATTGTTTTTTACGATCCTATTTTTCTTATTTTTATTCTTTTTATTGATAAGTCGCTTTGGTGGTTTCTTCACTATTGGCTGATTCTTCACCAACTCATTCTCGTCCATCGGCTCGATCACTTGTCCAAGTTTGGTACTTACTGTCGGCCGAATGAGCTGCAAGTGAGCGTTCATTGGAACAAAGTTCTTGCTGACGGGAGCTCTGATGCTGGCCTCAAAATCCTTGACCTTGGTGAACGGATAGGGTAACTCCTTCACGAGATGTTTTTTAATTTCTCATTGTCATGCTCGAATACTATGACCTTTCCTTGATTCTCAGGTTTACGTAATTCTACCTTGGGAATATTCAGTATGAATCGGCTCTTCTTACGAGCTATTTTACTTTTCTTTACATTTGGTCCACCCCAACTTCCCCATCCGGGTAGACTTAGATCAATATTCTGTGGTTGCGACTTTTCCATCTAGAATCATTTTGCATATATTAAATATTTATAGTAATATTTACAGATTCTTCGCGAAAATGTAATGCCATTCGATATCTATTTTACCGTTCCAAGTTCAAAATTAATTTTTTTTCAAAATACAATTTATAAGCATTTTTATAAATGTGTCGTTTTTATTTTAAATTTTTATTACATACCTCTTCTTCTTGTTCTTTTATAAATTCTTCGACAACATCGTCATCCGCGAATGCCTCACTCATTATCTTATGTCTTTCCTCTTCTTCTTGTTCGCTATCTTCATCTCCAGCTGTACTTATATCCGGCAGTTGTGTTTTCAAATGTTTAGGTTTAATGTTTACATATTTTTTTGGGTCTATTTCCACTTCATGGTTAATAGGCGTTTTTTGTACTGTATTCGCTATTGTTCTTAAACTTGTTAGATCGTTATTCTTTTGCACATTTTCTCTAGAAGTCGTTTCTTCTAATGGAAAATCCAAAATAGGTTTCTGTTTGGGATTTTTGAATTCGAGATTCAGCAAATCCTCATTTTCCTTCTCCTTCTCCTTTTCTTCCTCGCATTTCTCTGTCTTGTTTGTTTTTAATTTCTTTTTCACTTTTTGCATTTTCGAATTTAGTTTACGCTTTGACTTTTCCTTTTTGTTTTTTCGGAATCAAATGTTTCATCCACGCCTTGCGATTTAGATTTCTTCTCATTTCGTTTATTTTTTGTTGTCTCCTTTTGAATATTCTGTATGGATGTAACATCTACATCATTGCATACAGATGTGCTTTCTTTATTATTTGTATTTTGTGATATACTGTTTTTCTGTTTACCATGCAATTTACTTTTTTTATTACTTGCTTGTGAAATATTACTTTTCTTTTTATCACAAGATTTTTTATTTTTTATTTCACTATCACTTATATTTATTTGTGAAATATTATTTTTCTCATTATGACATGCTGTTTCTTTTTCTTCTGCTGATAAAATCTTATCCGAAATTTTGTCTGTTTTTTCTTCTTTCATTTGTTCTTTTTTATCATAGTACGTCCGACAAAGTTTAATAAATTCATCAATTTCACCTTCAGTTTTTACATCGTTTTTGTCATTTTCCAATTGCATTTCATCTTCCTCATCTTCTATATCTTTCATGTTTATCTCATCATTCTCATCTTCCTCGTCTTCTTCATCTGTTCTCTTTACTTTCTGTGTCAATTCTCTGCTAATAGCCAATTGTTCAGCAAGTTCTTGTCGTGTCTAAAAAAAGGATTTATTTCATTGTTTTTAATTATTTAAATACTTTTAATGTGTATATAGATTTATTTAATTTTAATATTTAATTATTTTTAAAAATATTTATATTAAAATAAATTCTAAAAGTGAGAAAAAATACTTTTCACTTAGGATTCAAAACTTAGGTATCAAAACTTACTTCTTTATCATATTTGGCTCTAATCTGTTTATTTTTAGCCCATTGACCTGTGTTTTTATGTCTTAATGACATTCTTTCTTCAGCACGTGTTTTGTCCAATTGTTCCAACTTTGTCAGCGCTTCCTGTGGATTAGTATCTTTCAACTTTTCAAAATCTTTTAACTGCTGTTTAAGCTTATCTTTTCTCTGGATGCGGTGAAACTTTTTACTCTTTATCTTACGCTGACGATGCGCTTTTGCCTCTTTATACGACTAAAAATATAAAGAAATGCTTATCCATTAGTCTATTTTTCATTTTTCTTGTTCATATTAATACAAAAACCATGTCACAATTTTTCCATACCTGTTGCGCTCTAATTCTGGCGGCTTCCTTTCTTCTTAAAAGCATTTCTTCCATTGTCATTTTGTATTTATCAACCTTTTCCTCTTCCTCAGCAGGAGGATTCAGTAATGTTGGATCTACTTCTTCAAATTTTTTCATCAGGTCCGATTTTATATTGAAACCTTTCAAGAATTTTGGAATCTTTGAGGTATCATTATCTTTTATAGGTGCTGAACGTTTTAATGGAAAAGATAGGCATTCTGCTGTCCTGTTTTTTGTTACTATACTTTCCCATTTTTTCAATTCATCTTGTACCTTCTCAAAGCCTACTGTCCTTTTTATCTATAAGAAATTTATGAACATAAAACAGTTATCCTTTTAATTATCCATTAATTACATCTAATTATTAAATAGTACAATTTAATTGAAAAAGTAATATTAGTTTAGTAGTTTTTAAATTATTATTAATTATTGTAATTATTAAATTATTTTAAATATAATTGTTGTAAATTACTTTACGTTATTAATTTACCCTTTCAGCCGCTGGTTTCTCTAATGGTTTAGGAAGAATTTTATTTTTCTGTTGAATGTATCGAAGCCTCTTAATAACATTGATCTGATTTTCCTTTTTTCCCAATGATTTGATTAGATCTTTTACACATACTGCATCCTTGTCGGTAACTCCACTTTTCACAAGGTGATATTCCGATACCTCTAAACTAGGCTCGCTTCGTTCTGCTTTCTTTACCCTACCAAGGATGAAATACAACGAAAATGTAACAATATATATCAAAATTACAATTTCAAACATTCAAACATTCATTAAATTTCAGACATTTATTGTAACTTCATTATTCCTTACCTTTGTCTCTTGTCGAGCTGCGCCACAGCATCAACAAGTTTCGAGTGATGTTCGGAAACATCCTGATCACTGTCATAAAAATTTTGATCGATTTCCGAGTCGCTCATCTTTATGTATTATCACTTATTTTCGTTCAATATTACCATAACACAAATTACACGAAATCACACACGACAGCACACGAGACTACGAGCAATATTGCTATCAGAAACGGGAACATCCCGTTTGACCACGTTGCGATTGACCACAGCCATTCACAACAGCCGATGCCTAGAGGTTTTCCTCTGTTCAAATGCTATGAGTGACTGATAGCAACATGGCCAAACGGACTCCACCATAGACATAGTATAGATAGACCGAGCATATACTAGGCAATGGACGACATGGCGAGTGAGAAGAAACAATATCTGATTTTTTCTCTCTCTCTCTAATAGAAGAAGGTAGGGGAAACATTAAGTAGAGACCGTGTGTATGATCCTTATATAGCATGCTCGGTCTATCTAATCGCTGTGTTTCAAAAAGGCTTTAAAAATAAAGAAAGAATAGTTCGTCCGGCACTTGTAGATGTTGTTAAATAATTAAAGCTAGATAAAATATCTATTGAGATTTTTTAATTACACAATATTTAATATAGAATATTTATATTACAACATTTAATATAGAATACTTATGCTATACTTATTTTTTTTAAATACTTGTGGAAGGAATATGATGAAATATCCATTAATAAATAAAGAAAATTAGCTCTATTATGAAAAATGACTCATCTATCCCCGTTTATATTATCCTTGTTCACCTTTATACTGTAATTTGTAATGCTCCTTTGCTATAGTTTTGTAAATTTGTGTGTTTGGCACAAAAGATATATTATTACATAAACAGCTTCGGAATTTCGTAAGAAGGCACACATGAGTTTATGGAATTCTTTCAATGTTTACCCAGATATCATATCTATGACAAGAATCAATAAGATTAGTCTCTTGAAAACAATGTAAAAAAGCGAATAAAAATATCGGACATATAATTCGAAAATAATGGCATTTTTATCGCGTTTTATAATGTGTACCAGGAATTCTATTTAAAAAAAAAAACAAGAAAAAAATACCTTTATTCTAATCACACGATACAGATTAGCATATTTTTCATATTGTATTTAGATCAACATTTTAATAATTAATACTCATGCAAAATTCTGTTGACAGTGTAAAACAAATTCTTCAATTCTGTTTTCTTTCTAACACAATTTGCATCTATAAATTTATCTTTTTCTTCATCTTTATTTTCATCGACAACAGATGCACCAATATCAGCATGATGATCCGAACAAGATTTTTTTATTTATCTAATCGTTTTCGTGTTCCATGGAACATTTCTGATTTTCTGCTTGTCGAACAATTAGATCCTGTTTTAAAATTTATAATTATGCAATTTTACAAAAATTTAAAAAACCGCTTTAATATTGCGACTGAAACGCACGCGCATGTGGTCACAGCGCATGCCCATGTCGATACATTTCGTCAGTATAACAGATTTTTTAACCCTGATTAACGCAAACCTTAACGACTAATATATATCTTGGTTATATCTTGGTTCGCGGGACAGAATGATGTTTTTTTTCTGCCAAATTTTTTCATTTTGTGTAAAAACGCGTCGAATGAGTCTATTTTTATCAAAATCGGAGGTGGGGGGACCTAACATTTACTTATATATTATGGCTGCGTTTCACCAATATTTCACTGCCGGTACTGAAAATATTTAGTGTCATGTATATTATAGATTTTCAGTGCTCGCAGTGAATATCGGAACGCAGCTCTCATTGAGTAAAATTTTCCTCGGAAAAGACATTTTGGGAATGTAACCTCGAAAGAAAAGTTAAATAATGTGCGATGACCCTAAAATCATCTAGAAGAATTGACCAATTGCGTTTGAATAATACGGCCAATTAACCCAATCCTATCGTAGTTCGTAGACCTTATGATCCGTGCACATGTGTCCACTCGGGGAGAAATCGTTTAGCTCCCTCCGCCAGGTGTCCTCGTGATCGGCCGCGAATCACGACGCGCGACTCGTCGTCGCGTTCGCGAAAACAGTCGGCGAGTGAGTGCGGAGCAAACAGCTGATATCGTTTCTGCGGTACGTCCCTCGGCGTGCCAGAGCACATGTCCGCCGTGCGATAATCACGCCACGGTGTCGCGCTACTGCCGCGTATCTCCCCGGCGACGGCGAGTGAGCGGACGCGAGAGCGAGAAGTACGTGCATGCGAGCCCACGCCGGCGACTGGCCGCCCCGTCCTCGATCGCGTGCGATGAGAAGCGACCGGCGATAACCGGCATTCCTCTTTACCGTCCCCATCGTTGCCGTGACCGTCGCCGTCGTTGTCGTTAACCCGCGTGGGAAACATGGCCGATCGCGATAGCGCGTCCGAGAGCGACTCCAGCTCGATCGACGGCGGACCGATTATGATGCCACCGTCGCCGGTTACGCGCGAGCAGCTGCAGAAGCGCATCGAGTCGTTGCAGCAGCACAACCGCGTGCTCAAAGTCGAGCTCGAGACGTACAAGCTGCGGGTGAAGGCCCTGCAGGAGGAGAACCGTGGCCTGCGCCAGGCATCTGTCATCATTGTAAGGCTCAAATTTCTTATTTTTTAGTTTCTTCATCACGAGCGACGATCGAGTGTTAATATTCTGTTTTGGTGACAATTTATGAAACAAGATTTGTTCGAATATGAATTGAGTGCATCGGCTGCTTTTATATTTTAAATAAAGCAGCTCCGAAAGCAAATAGGAGTCTGTTATATTTGAGATTTATGTTCTTTGTATTTATAGCAAGCCAAGGCCGAGCAAGAAGAGGAGTTTATAAGCAACACTCTGCTAAAGAAGATTCAAGCCTTGAAGAAGGAGAAGGAGACTCTGGCTCACCACTATGAACAGGAGGAAGAGTGTCTCACCAATGATTTGTCGCGAAAACTAAATCAACTGCGGCAGGAGAAATGCAGGCTCGAGCAGACGTTAGAACAGGAGCAGGAATGCCTGGTGAATAAACTGATGAGGAAAATCGAGAAGTTGGAAGCAGAGACGCTAGCCAAACAGAGCAATCTGGAGCAGCTGCGTCGCGAGAAAGTTGAGTTAGAGAATACGCTGGAACAGGAGCAGGAGGCATTAGTGAACAAGCTGTGGAAGCGAATGGATAAACTCGAGGCTGAAAAGAGAATGCTGCAAATCAAGCTGGATCAACCAGTTTCTGATCCTACTTCACCTAGAGAAATCAACAACGGCGACACTGCCACAAACCTAAGCACTCACATCCAGACTCTGAGAAGCGAGGTTGCTCGATTAAAACACACGCTGCTAATCTCACAACAAGAACGTGAGCATAATTACTTTAATTTCCAATCTATGCCAAAGAATTCATTGAATTTGGCCTTCAAAGTTTATTATTGTTTTGGTTTTCAGATACGGAGAAAATGAAGCGATATGTCAATGAAGAGAAGCAAATACGTGAGGAGAATCTGAGACTGCAGAGAAAGTTGCAACTAGAGGTGGAGCGTCGCGAGGCCTTGTGTAGACACCTCTCGGAGTCTGAGTCTAGGTCGGTAATTGAGTTTCATTGACGTAGCTTGTCACGTAACATTTTGAAGATATTCTTTTTATTATGTCAGCACTGCAAATCGTGTCTATCGAATTTTAGAGTTGAAAAATATTTATCATTCCTGATCTCACAGACATGATTTTCGCAGCTTGGAGATGGAAGAAGAACGGCACTACAATGAAATAGTGATGTCCGGGGGGAACATAAGGACCCGTACGGTATCCAGTCCTGTGCCCTACAATCCGTCACCTAGTTCTTCAAGGCCATTGAGCCCTGGTAAGTTTCGACAGAAAATATCCTACATAGATAAAACGTATGTAAATAAAATAGAATGTCTAATCGATGTATCAATGTAAAATTTATAAAACTGGTGTCGGCGTTCTCTCCGACTATATTTTATGTTTAGCGAATTCATGCGAGTGTACATTTTATCATTAGGTATTAACGTGTTAGGTTCTACATCCAGAGAGGGCTTCAGCGCAAACCGGTGCTACGCTTGCGGCCAGCCGACTGCTCCTCCGTTCGCGAGCTCATCGCCTCCTTCAGGGGTAAATTATTATGTTTGAAAGTCACTCAGATATTAATGTTGAAATTAATTGATTATTCGATGTAATTAGATCATTAGATGTAATTTTCTTTGGTGTTACGTGCTTAAAAATCTTTCCACAAGATGACGTTCTTTCAATTAGTAGTCTGTTATTGCTTGATAATAATATTAATGATCACGAGAAAACGTTTTTTATGCTTTCTGAAAGAGGGATAATTGTTATACCCTAACTTTTATTCATGAATGCATTACGAAATAGGGACATATTGTGGCGCCGTCCAGTAGACGTACCTCGGATCGTTTCGTCAAGCCAGCGATTCCGCCCACCATTGTGAGTCCTGGCGGGCCGCCGACCATTGCTCCCAATCCTACGAATCCCGTTGCCGCTCCGCATCCAGGATCACCGATGGACATCGCAAAGACATAAGTTGAACCAAGTTGAGGGGAGGGCTCTCCACAGAAACCCCTTTTATGTAGTCGCGCGCAAGGCACTTCTCTAAACGGTGCGTTCTAGCTGGAAAATATGCGGGAAAATCGTCCGCATTTCGATCGAAACACCACCGTTGGCGCTTTTTCTTGTCGGATGTTTCCGTTTGTTAACTACTATTTCAGCTCTAATGTGTAACACACGGGCTATAAGAGATTGAGAGAGAGAATGAGAGAGAAAGAGAGATATGGGACTTAATTATCTCGATCTGAATGGACAGAATTATAAAATTAAACAATGCATGAAAGCATCTCGCTTCTCAATCGCGGGATGACTTTTTCCGTATCCCTTTGATAATTCCTCATATGTTGCCTGAAGTTCCATTCAGACCGAGCCCCTTATCATACTATGCAATTAATATCGTTTGAATGTTCTACATAAGAAAATGACAAAAAAAAAAAATAAAATCGACATGTTGCTTCCATGTTCCAAATAACCATAGTATAAATGTTGAATGCAAACGCTGGAGGGACATCTACTCGGTATATATTTGCGATATTATTGTAATCTTACTGTGCGTTTAAGAACATAAACGAAAGTAACTAGAGTGTAGTGTCGCGGTGTTCACACGATATAACAGGTATGCATTTTGTTTAGCTTTGAGCCTGAGAGTAATCACTTAGCGCACGCGGTACTGAGGCGGAAGCTATTAATTCTAGAGGGAAAAGGTTCCGTTAATTCCTCCGCAGGGATTGTCCGATCTTAGAATATGCGCAATCAAGTAGAATCAGAGATCTCAGCAGTCGCGGAGACTTTGATATCTAAAATTCTTGAAATTCAATAATTGTGAAGCATGAAACAGTGTGACAATTTAAGGCCCTAAAGTTCCAAGGATTCAACAGTCCAACGATCTGAGAATGTAAAACAAACTTGCGAATCTGAAAAGAGTGTACACTCTGAACGCTTAAATATATCTAAATGTCTATAATACATAAAAATATACATATACACATATATATATATATATATATGTGTGTGTGTGTGTATGTATATACATACATACACATCATAAATTATACATAAGTAAATATTTTTTTTAATAACTCAAAAATGTAAGTGTTCACACAATATTTTTAGACTCTTATTAATTTAAGAAATCTAGAAATGCATAAAAAAAGAGAAAGATCTATAGAAATCTAAAAGATTTATAAGCTCATCAGCTTTGCTTTTCTTGAACTCGTCTTTGGAATTGTTACTCTTAGAATCTTTGGATTTTGAAATCTTGGATCTCGTTAACATGTAGTAAACACGTTGCCTCGAGAATTTGTATTTTACAATCTTAAAATTTCTTAGTTTTAGGACATTTTTCGGAACGTTGAAATTTGAAAATTTTGATATGTCGGAAGCCATTTGGAATATGTATGGTATTAAGCGCGGCGCGAGAGAGACAAATCTTACGTTTAAAAGTTTACTCCCTAATAAATTGTTTTTTATACCAACGATATATGTATGCGTTAGTTCGAGATGTTGTCTGTTATGTTACATCGAAGACTTTGAAATCATTGTTTTAGGAACATTCGGGAAATCGAACTTCTTGAATATCAGAAGCTTAAAATCTTATTTCTTTAATACTTCTAGTTGTAAAGTTCTAGTAAAGTTTAGAAGCGTTTAAATCTTTGTTTTTTTTTTAAGCTTTGATATCTCGATTTTGGAGAGAGCCTCATTTAAGGTGCGGAATCTGAAAGTCTTGGATCTCTGGTATTTTGAGAGATACTATAGAGTTCGATATCGAATGATTGTCCATTTTTTCATTTATTTGTTCTTTTTTCTTATTGTTTCTGGAGGGCATCTTCGTGATGCCTCTCCCCGTACGCCGGTTACCGTGAACTATAAACGATGTGAAAAGCGGAGAAATTGCAAGAAAAACGTACGAGATCGATCGTCGCTTATATAAGACTTATTCGAATCTACATCTACGCGAGTGATTTCCTCGCTCAGTTTTTTCCTCGTAATACAAGGTGACTAACGTTACAAATCTTAAGAATTCTTGTTTATGAAACAGATTATACATAAACGTTACACGAGGATCAGGTCAAAGCGTTGTTTATTATGTTATATCGAACGGTGTACGTATATACGTACATACAAATATATCTATATATATATATATATATATATATATATATACATACTATA